AATTTGAGAATTTTCTAGCGGTTCCCCAGAACCGCTAGAAAATTCTACGGTTTTAAAAATATTTATTAAATTAATAAATGATTATAGAATTATTTCGAGTAATTAATATGTTTAACGTGTTTAATAAATTGTAATGTTGATGTTGTAATAAATAAATAAATATTTCAATATTAATTAGTACTTGACATAAATAAAATTATAGAAATAAATCAATAAAGGAAACAAATAAATATAAAATTTAGATAAATATCTAAATAATATATAAAACCGTAAAATTAAGATTCTAATAAAATCCGATACAATGAAAGCAAATCATGGGTGGGGGGCAGAAGCAGCATCATCGGGATCATCCTCTGCTGAATCCTCCGGCTGACGGTGGGCAGGCCGCTCAACCTGCTGGGACTGGACTGGCGGATGGCGGGGGGGTAGGGGCGGGACTGGTGGCATGTGTAGGTCGGGGATGTCAGGAACCGAGATGTTTGGAGCTATACTGACCACCACATGACGCAGAGCCGTAGCAGCTGCCAAGAGCTGGTCAAGCTGCGTCTGGAGCTGACGATCACGCTCCTGGAACTGACGATCACGCTCCACGATCCTGGCCTCGAACTCTTGTCTGAGCTCCTCTCGCAATTCCTCTGAAGATGAGGAACCCGGCCGCTTCGCACTCGCATGAGAGCTCCCAGCAGTATATGAAGGGCCAGCGCCACTTGAGCGGGGCAGCCTAGTCGGTGTAGGTCCAAGTCCAAGCCCGCTAACTCGACCAGGGTGCTGCGGCCGGCCAAGACCCGCTAAAAGTGAGGCGGTGGGATCCAAGGCAGACCCCTGAGACTCACGCAACTCGGAATCGACCTGAGTCATCCGTGCCTACCAAAATTAATATAAAGAAGTTAATTATAATATAATGATATCTACACTGTGATATTATATTAATATTTAATTTATTACTTACCGCTATCTCCTCAACCTCATCCGACGCACGCCCGTCTCGGGGTCTATACACCATCGGCCACATCTCGCCATAAGTGGGCGTGTATCCCCGCTCCTGCTGCGTCTTTTCTATCTGTAAATGAAATCAAAGAAATAATTAGTTACAAATTAAATACATCTACATATTTAATAAATTTATTTCAAGTACTCACAATCTCGTCATAAGTGATCGCAAAGCTCCTGGATCCAGCCCTATGACGTATCGTCTGATGCCTGACGCTCCTAGCATTTCTCCTAGAAAGAGCCTGAAGCAAAATGTAAAAAAATTAAATTAAATGAGTCAAGTCGGATAAAAAATAAAGAAATTATAATTAATACAATATTATCATACCATCTGGTCAGCCGTCATCCTAAAATAGACGTAAGTAGACCAGTCTTGGTCCGGGACTCCACCAGGTACATCTGCCAGTATCTCCTGGAGGGGCCTCGTCCCGTCACCTTTCTTCTCCCTCCACAGGTCGGCCCTCCTGTTCTTCCATGCCATCCCCAGCCTCTTGATCGTGTCAGCCCTCAACTCCTCCCCCAGAATAAATTTACTCTATGATTAAAATAATAAATTAACTAAATAACAAATTATAAACAAATAATTAAGCAATTTTAATAATTAAAAACAAATAATTAGTTTTTAACTAATTTAACAATATTATAAATAAAATATAAATTAATCAAAGTTTAATAATAATTAAACAATTAAGTAATTTAAATAAAAAAATATTTTTACTCAACTAAATTTAAAATTATTATAAGTAATAAATTAATGAAATCAATAACAAATTATTTTCATTTAACTACTTTTAAATAATTTAAATTAAAAATATATATTCATTTAACTACTTTTAAAAATATTATAAATAACAAACAAATTAAATAAATAAAAAATTATAATCAAACAATTAAATTATTTGAAAACAAAATATATAATCATTTATTTAAATTAAAAAAAATTATAAATAACAATTTTATATTACCTTCATTATTTCCCAGCCTTGCTGCTTCTTGTCTGAGGTGATCTTCTTCCAGTTCTGCACGTAGATGGGGAACAGCGTCCACTGCTGACCAAGGAGGCGCACGTACTTGTTGTACAACTGGCCACCTTTCTTCGTCGGTTGGCCCAACTCATTGAGCGGCACAACCACTCGTCCGCCCGTCATCATAGACAGCTCTCTGGCTGTCAGCCTCCGATAGGACCTGTTCCCCTCAGTGTCTACAAAATTTAATTAAGAAATAAATTATATATCAATAAATTAATATAATTTCTATATAAATTAAATACTGATCAAAACTTTAAAAAGTTAAAATAAATACTTACCGACAAATTCCACCTCATAACCAGCCTGACGTCTCGGAGCAGGACGCTGTGCAGCCTGGGGATACTCATTCCCCTGATCCTGCTGCTCCTCCTCCTCCTCCTCCTCGTCAGCAGCATCAGCATGGGGTTGCTCATCCCCAGTAAAATGAGCCTCCTCAGTCCGCTCAATACCATCCTGCTCCATAAAACTGAGGATATCCTCCTCGCTCAAATCGTAGTCATGAATGCTGGGAAATGGCTCATCAGCATCATGATGAACCTCACTGGGTCCAGCTCTCTCAGGATCAACTGGGTCTTTCCCATGTCGACGAGGCATCCTAATAACAACAAATAGTAATTATTTATAAATGAAATAAAAAAATTAATTTATAAGCTATAACATAATAAAATTAATAAAATAAAACATAAAATAAAAATTATTTATCAATAAATTACTATTTTTACCTGAAAATAAGGATCTGCAACTGAATCAGAACTCAAATATGTTTGTGAAGAAAATTCAGCAGAGCTTCGCTTCCAGAACGATTGAAGAAGTGAGAGTGTGGGGGGGGGGTATATATAGACCGAAACTTTCTAGCGGTTTTGTGCCTAACCGCTAGAAATTCCCAACGGTCATATGACCGTTGGGAATTTCTAGCGGTTCACGGCCGAACCGCTAGAGATTTCTAGCGGTTCGGCCGTGAAACCGCTAGAAATTTCTAAACTCCTCGGGGAATGAAAAAAATTTCTAGCGCTTCATGCATCAACCGCTAGAATTTTTCAGTGTCTAGCGGTTTATTAGCCTGAACCGCTAGAAAGTAAACGCTACAAATTTGGCGCCAAGTTCCCGCCAAAGCCCGGGGAGTTTTCTAGCTCTAATTTTCTAGCGGTTACCCCTAACCGCTAGAAATGTGCGTTTAATGGTCAAACCGTCTGTATTTTGCAGCGGTTTTTGTAGGAACCGCTAGAAATATCTGAAATTTCTAGCGGTTTTCTTTAACCGCTAGAAAGGTTCCGCTGCTACTTTTACAATTTCTTGTAGTGCCATCAAAAGATTGAGAATAGCAAAGAAAAATAGCAGCGGATCTGAGAAAGAGGAGGAGATGAAAAAAGGGGTTTTAGTAAGAAAGGACAGACTTGTAATATTAAATAATTAGTAAGAATAATTTAGTTAGGATGACATATAAAATTTCTCTCCACTCCAAAAAATCCCAAATTTAGAGGGGAGTAAAATGAGGAGGGAACATTAAAAAACAAAAAAAAAAATTTCTCTCCCCACCCCTCCATTTTCTGAACCAAACACGCTTAACAAATGCTCTCCCCTCCCCTTAAAAAACCTCTAACCAGACAATGCGTTAGGGATTCGCTGCCGTTGCAGCTAATGTGGTTGCTTTGTTTTTTTGTTACTCTTTCAGTCTTTAATATAAGATCTATTTAACTATTTTGATTAGATTAAAGAAGTTAGGTAAGTTAGTTAATTATAAGAAATATGACATATTTTTCTTAAAACTTCATAATCATCTTTCTTAATATTCTTTCTCTTTTACTTGATTATGGTTGAGAGAATATTCTTAGGGATAGTTTAGAAAAAAATTAATAAATATGAGAAGTAGGTCTTATATTTAAGATCAAGACTAACTTAACAATTAAGCCTTATATTAAGGACTAAAGGAGCATCATTTTGTAATGCTGTACTTATTATTAAAAAAATTAGTTGACTAATTTGAGTAGATTAAAATAATTTATTAAATTAGTTATTTACAATAAACATGTATTGTCTTCTTTAAAATATTCTTACTAATTATGTGCATTAGCCAGAATTACTATTTGATAAAATATTTAATATGAGCAACTACTACAAGAACTACTTTGAAAAAAAAAAAGATAAAGTGAATTGAGGTATGATATTTAGCACTCAATTAAAAGTTAAACTAGCTCTTATATTAAGGACAGTAGGTATTATAATTTTAGAACTGAAAGATTATTATTTAAAATATCATTAAAATGGTTACATTTAAACATTTAAATATTTTAGAAAACTATATAATTAAATATTTTAGAAAACTATGTAAATAAAGACCCGGGATTAAAAAAAAGCTTATTTTCCTCGCATATTGTTAGAATTTTCACAAACAATGCGCAGTCTCAGTAGATATTAAAATTTCAACAATTTTAACATAAATTCTTTTTAGTGGTGGGTGGCTCGAATCTTTACGAATAGTTCCAGTACTTTTTTCCTTGGGCCAAAAAAAAGTACCCAGTCAGTAACTCCATAACTGCAGCACAGTTACTATCCCATCCCCTATTCCTAAGGCATTTGATATTTTTATAGAGATGTTTAGCCAAAAAAAAAAATGTGCATGGCCAATCACCAATCCAAATTACTTCCCGTTACGTTTTTTACCGTTGGGGTGCCTAGCGTACCCTTTTTTTCTTTTCCTTTCTTTTTTTTCCCCATCTAGCGCATCTCATTGTATCAAGGTGTCGTAAATAAATCAATACTAGCTACCACTGCCAATTACCATTACCATTACCAGTAACAAGTACTAATAATCATCAATCGATAAAAAATGACGGCTAGCACAAAAAGAAAAATTACCCCCCGCTACCCAGCGGGTCTTACCAAGCTGTCATAAATAAAGCGCCGCGTCGCATATCAGGCTCATTCACCCCTGCCAAGTGACGCTGCCGCCAAGTCGCCAACCCTTGCTCTAAAACCCCATAAACCTTTTGGTCCTGGGCTACACTTCTACGCGAAGAGCAGAGCCATTGCCGTGGGTAGACATGGCATCTTCTTCGAAAAAATCCCAGAAAAGGAAACCCAAAGGCATGCCTGTGGACAAATCCTCTAAGAAAATCTCTAAAGAGAAGAGGAAACCAGTCAGCGTCGTTGGCTCTGAAGCTCTGGGTTTGCAGCTCCAAGATGACGTCCCTGATTTTCCCAGAGGTTACAACAAGTTCTTTATGCTAACTTCTTTCGATTTATGAAGTTCAGCTCACTTGAACCACTGGTTATGACTTTGCTGAAGACCTGTTGAACTGAAAAAATTGTTTATAGCTATACGTTTAGCGTACTATATGTTTTGTTTTCTTTTTGTGTTGTATTTTATTTATTCTTCTACCTTTCAATCGGCCTTTAGGCGGAGAGAGTTCTCTTACCTCCAGGCAAACCGGAGAAATACGTCCAGAAGATGATTATGAATTTGGGACTGAGGATCATTTGAAAAAGAAGAAGAAGAAGGGAAACAATATGTCTAGTAAGAGTCGGGCACCCGTAGATGATTTGGGTTTGCTATCCGGTGGTGGAATCAAGGGAAAACTACCAAGATACGCAAATAAAATTACTTTCAAGGCAGGCTTTATTTTGTATATCTGTTGTTTACTTCTTTACATGTGGTGTTCTGTTATACGCATCCTCTTGCAATGTTGCTCTTCAACTTTCAAACACAATTGATTTCTTCACATCTTTTTCATAAGTATTGGATGTTATGGTTATATTATTGTCTGCTCTACATTAAGTATCACCGATGCTTTGTTACAATTGACGGAATAAGCATTGAAACATATTCACATTTAAGTGCAACATGGATGCTAGCTTTTTTGTTTTGTTTTCATCTGTGCTCTATGTGAAAGAAAAACTCCAAAACTATTAACATGTTTGGAATTAAGTCTCCTTATGTTCAGAGAGATCTCACTATACTCGAATCAATTTGACAAATTTCCACCACCATAGACCAAGTTTTTATTCAAGAATTCCAAACTCAAACCGTTCCCCCCATAGATGAATAAGGAAGAGGCCTTTGACATCTGTATGTCTCATTACTCTTTCATAGTTCTTGTCTAAGGATTGGGCTTTCTATATTGATGCAATAAAAATTATGTTGCTTTCAGTTGCATAGAGTTTGGTTTGTCTTTCTTTGTTCAGTATAATTTAGAATTAGAACGTTGGTCTTCAAATGTGTCTGTAGTCTTTACGTTTTTCATGGGACTAATTTCTGTCATTCCTTGTCAAATTCACGTCCTTCGTCTTCTTCTTCTTTTTTGAAATGTGCTTACAATTTTCATTTTTGCATCTGTGCCAGAATATATCTCCTGGCATGAAACTTTGGGGACTTGTGGCTGAAGTCAATGAAAAAGACCTTGTAATTAGTTTACCAGGGGGTTTACGTGGATTAGTTCATGCATCTGATGCGTTTGATCCTATTCGGAGTGACCAAGTTGAGGTGTGTATAAATCTTTTCTCCCTGATTATCCATTTAGTCTGCCTCTTCCTCTCATAATGCTTTTGCCAATGGTTCATTGCCATCATTGACTGTTCTTTACTGTTGTTATGTACAATTTTAGCTTATCTTCTCTCTTGTCAGGTCGGAGAAGGTTTCCTGTCTAGTCTCTTTTATGTTGGGCAACTGGTTTCTTGTGTTGTATTGCGATTAGATGAGGACAATAAAGACAAGGGCAAACGAAAAATTTGGCTATCTTTGCGTCTTTCAATGTTGCACAAGAACTTCAATTTAGACGTTGTTCAAGAAGGCATGGTATGCAGACTTTTCTAATCTATAGAACAGAAGTATTTATGGTAATATTTTTAATTCCCAATTAAGACTTAATAGTAGGTTATAATTTCATATTGATGTAAATGGGCTTTCAAGCATGAGATAGTTGGAGGGATCTACATGCATATTGAGATAAAGAAAAGCCTACGATCATCTTCTTATAAAATTAAGCTCCACTATGCTGAAGCATTCCTTTGTGGGTTCTTAACTTTAGGTTTTGTAAGCATGGACTTTGTGTATCTCTACTTACTTGGGCTCTGAATTTATGAAAAGCTTGGAATTACTTCTCATTTTACATGCTTATTAATTATTGTCTTTTAGAGACATGTATTTGTAGTTGTTTTCATGTATGTGCTTACCGTATTCTGTTTGTTCTTAACGAAGCCAGGCGATTTTTTTGTAAGAAAGTTTCCCACATTGCATAAACGTAATTAAACATCCTCAAGAAATGGACTTTAAAAAAAGGTTGTTGATTTTCATCTTCTATTTGCAGACATTCAAGATACTTGATGTCAGTGAGATACGCTAATACCCAAAAATTCACAGGACGTGTTTCCATTTTAGTTATATATTTAGTCATATTTACTTTTTATGCGTGTGTTTGAAAAGCTAATGATAACTTGATAACTATTTTGGTGCGCCTGCTTGTTCAGCACTAACATCTACCAATCTGTTTGATTAATGAAGCCTGTAGCTCTGATGATGAACTACGCAACTTACTTGCATGATTAATTACATAAGCATAGTACTCGCAGATGTCTAGCAACTTTTCACATCTTGACCTAGCAGCTGAATCAGATTGTCATGCTCCTTTCTTAGAGAACGAAATAAAAAGATCCTTTGCAAGTGATTATATCATCAATTTCTTGCACATGCTATTTTAATTCATCATGATGTTATGATAATGCATTTGATTTTAATGTCCAGTTTTGCTTGTACAACCATATATTATTTTTGGAGGCATTTGTGTGACATATTGCTTATTGAGGATGGGACTTTTTAAATACAGGTCCTTGCTGCATATGTGAAAAGCATTGAAGACCATGGTTATATTCTTCACTTTGGCCATTCTTCTTTTATGGGATTTTTACCAAAGAATAGCCTTGCTGGTAAACATCTGACGCTTTTTCTGAATTTTTGTTGCCTTCCTTTGTGTAACATGGTTAGACTGAGTTTTGGTTTTGGTTCTCTTTCCCTCCGTGTTCAAATTCCTGCAGATGGTAGAAGTGGTGGAGTAAAAGCTGGGCAACTTTTGCAGGGAGTGGTTAGGAGCATTGATAAAGGTCGTAAAGTTATTTATATGAGTTCTGACCCTGATACAGTGTCTAAATGTGTGGTATGCTCACTCAAAATTCATTGTGCTGTTTTTTGGTATTTTTTAATGATCTGTTGATATTAGTGTTTTTACTTTTTCATCATGTCCCTGATGGTGCTTTGGAACACTTGATACAGACCAAGGATCTCAAGGGTATATCAATTGATCTTCTTATCCCTGGCATGATGGTTAATGCCCGTGTAAAGTCAATTCTTGAGAATGGCATTTTGTTATCATTTCTCAATTATTTCACTGGAACTGTAAGTGTAGTGTTTACTCATCATGGTTGCAAGGCATAGCTGATATTTTGAGTGAAGAAATTCACTTAACAAACCCAACATGCTTTAATATCATTTTGGGACACATTTCATTATCTCAGGTTGATCTGTTTCATTTGCAAAATATCTACCCTTCAACGAACTGGAAAGATGGTTACAGTGAATCTCAGAAGGTACTTCTTATGCAACTTTTCCATCTTGCACTGCACTGAACTGCTACAGATTGTTTCCATTTAATTTTCTTATTTTACAGACATATATGCATCTAGCTTTTCCATTGTATACCTAAGGTTGAGTTGGCGTCCGCAGTATCTTTCTTTGTAATTGTGAGACGGACACCAATTAACCTAAGTAAGTATGTCTTCAAATTTAATTTGTAGCAGAACTATGGAAATCAGTCATTCCGCTTGCTAGGAAGTTGCAGTTCTAAATGTTTTTTCTCTCTCCTCTTTTTTATTTGACTTATTCTAATCACTAACTGCTTTAAAATTTAACTCCACAATCATTATATTCTAGGTTAATAAGAACTTGTTATATTCTAAATAAAAAATTGATTAAAATGTTTTGATACACACGTTTGGAATTTAAATTACTAGAATTTTAATGTAGTTATGTGATATTCTCCTTGATTTGTTCATTGTTTGGCATCATTGAATTTCGCAGTCTAATCAGGTTTTATCATCCTGTTAAATATGCAGTTTGCAGCTTTAAAATTCATGTCATTACCTTGATTGACTTGTATACATTGTGTTCCACTTACTGATTTTGTTTTTGTGTCTGATTCTGTCATCTGTGAACTGATGCTGTGTTCTTCTTTGGAAGCCTGTGATTAAAGTTCAACTGTCATTAAGCACCTTCTATGTGATTCAGGTTATTGCTAGGATATTATTTATTGATCCGTTGACTAGAGCTGTTGGTTTAACGCTAAATCCACATCTTGTTCAGAACAGGGCCCCTCCATGTGTAAGTATATTGCCAATCATTTGTGCTCCCATACACAGAGTTCTTTCTGGCCAGGATTAAAGAAATGTTTTAGTGTACTTATTTTACTCGTCCATCATGTTTGAGCTCATGCGGGAAGACTAAGATATAGAATAAGGTCCCTCCATCAATAAGCATATTGCCATCTGTTTGTGCTCCCGTGCACAAAACAAATCCTTTCTGGCCAAGATTGAAGAAATTTTTAAGTGTACTTAGTTTATCCATCTTGTTTGAGCTCATTCTCTTCTTGTGGGAAGCCTGAAATATAGATGAATCTTCATACCCTTCCTCCTCTTTGACCTCCTAGAGAAATCTTGTTTATATTACCAAGATGGCATTCTTGTATTGCAAGCAAATTTTATGCACTGATGATTTACTTTGCCCTGCAGGATGTTAAAATTGGAGATATATACGATGATGCAAAAGTTGTCAGGGTGGATAAAGGCTTGGGCCTATTGCTGGAAGTCCCATCAATTCCGGAGTCTACTCCGGTGTATGTCAGTGTATGTTTATGGTCATTAGCTCAGTTGCTGGAAAAGTTTTTATTGTACATGACAGACTTAAAGTTTGAATGGTTATTAAAACAAATTTTTGACAGATATCTGATATTGATGAAGAGGAGATCCAGAGGCTTCAGAAGAAGTACAAAGAAGGAAGTCGTGTTCGAGTTCGGATCCTTGGGTTAAGGAATTTGGAAGGAATTGCTACTGGAATATTGAAGGTTATCATTTTTCTTTTTGGGAATAGTACGGGGGTTAAATCAAACAGAAATATGTTTTACCATTTAATCTGGAAAGTAGCAAAGATGGATTACTAGTTACTGCAGCTTTTCCTATGGGTCATGTCTGAAACATAATCTTTAAAGGGGTTTGACCTTATTTACTCTATTGACATTACTTTATCCTTCTTTCCTTCTGATGACTTTCTTATGCTTAATGAAACTAGAGTTTTGCGGGGCGGAGGGTGTTGGGGGGTTTCTTCTAATTTGAGTTAAAGAATTTTTTCACGACCTGTTTTCTGTAGAATGTTTCTGTCAATTTCTGTATCTCTTCTTCCTATCCCAGGTCTAACCACAGATCATTTCATTATTGCTTGAGAGTCGTATTCATGATATCAAGTACATGTGTTTAGTATTTTAGAGTTTGGGATAATGTGCTAACAGATGTATATTCAATACTGCCTCTATTGTTTTTGGAGCTTTAGTGCTTGGGATCAAATGCTGAGGCCATTAATCTCTTGTGGTTGTTTTAATAGTTATAATTGTGAATTGGCACTTGCTCTCCCCCAGGTTTTACTTTGCTACCCATCTTCTCATCTCAAATTATTTCATATAAATTAGGAGTTCCAGAAGCCCTTGATTGTGTTTTCCACAGTCTGTTTTGATTAGCTCCCCCCCCCCCCAAAAACAAACGGGGGAGAATTTATATAATCATGTGGAATGAATTTGGAATCCATTGTACCTATTTTAATGGGAGTATAGTTCATTTATCTTTCATTTGACAGTTGTTGTCTGATAAATGTTTTAGCGTGTTAAATATTTTCGGTTTACTCGTTGTCTATGCTTTTACAATTTTTATACAGATCTTCTATAAAATGACATTTTTACCTGACTAATGTTGACTCTAGGGTGTTTTCATTTAATCTGTTGTGTTTCTGTATTGAGCAGGCTAGCGCTTTTGAAGGAGATGTGTTTACACATTCTGATGTCAAGCCTGGGATGGTGGTGAAGGCTAAGATTATTTCTGTTGATGCTTTTGGTGCTATTGTACAAATCCCTGGTGGTTTGAAGGCGCTTTGTCCTCTTCGTCATATGTCTGAATTTGAGATTGCTAAGCCTGGGAAAAAATTTAAGGTTCTGATTTAGCCACATGTTCTGTACGATTTATTATGCTTTGTGGTCATGCCATATAGCTTGTGCATTTTTTCATGCGTCTGATTGTATGCATTTTTTCATGAGTCTGATTGTACAGACAAACATGTTAATTGTTTATTCTGCCTGGGTTATGGTGCAGGTGGGAGCTGAATTGGTATTTCGTGTGCTTGGTTGCAAGTCAAAAAGGATAACAGTTACACACAAGAAAACCCTTGTATGTTGCTTGTTTTGGCTCTTTATATGTATGCATATTTGTGTGTAGTTTTCACCTAAGTGAAGTTATACATGGAATTTTCCCTTGTATGTGAAGTTTGAACTTCATCATGCTTATCTCTCTTGGTGGTGATACTTCAAACTTATGGACATATTTGTTTTGCACTTCTTTAATAAAAACGAATTTAGAATTTACAATGTTGTACGCTTTCTTCTTGCTAACTAAGCTTTAGTCTTTATATTTGCTGATGGGCCTTAATGGAAACATAGTAGGCTACTGGAGATTATAATTCTGATAGGGATTGAGGTTGTGTGAGATGCTTGAATCTCACATTAAGTAGTGTGGGTTGCCCATTGGGATATTAATACTGATGGAGGGTGGTTCTCCATGAGCTTTTGGGTGAGGGCTCCCCACCCCACCTAGATGCTGATTTCTTATTTAAGTATAATTTTCAAAAATTTTGCCATTGTTTCGCACTGTTGGTGCAGTTCCATTTATTTACCCATAGAGTGAAGCCTCTTGCAATAGAAGTGGAATACATTATAGTTTTGTTTGAACATACCCTGGATTTCGTTACCTTATCTACAACCTTTACTTGATGAAATACAAGGTGGACTGTTGGGAGAAGAGGGTGAGAGAATATATTTTATTACTGTTTCTTTTTTATGTACAGATTTGTTCCCTTTCAGTCCTCAATGAGCCAAAACTTTTGAAGTGTGTGTTTTGCTTCAAGCTTTAGCCATGTTTTTGTGTTATATTCAACTTTGAAGCGGAATTGTTATGATTTATTTTTGGCAGGTGAAATCCAAACTTGGGATAATAAGTTCATATGCTGATGCAACTGATGGATTAATAACTCATGGGTGGATAGCAAAGATTGAAATGCATGGGTGCATTGTACGATTTTACAATGGAGTTCAAGGATTTGCTCCCAGGCTAGTTTCTTATTAACAGATTCATGCCTTGACTCTTTCTGTTAGTATTATTAATTTTTTTTAATGTTTGTGTTTTTCTACCTATGAGCTTCCTTGAGTAAGGGACGCATCGTCATATTGTCCAATCTTTCTCACAACCAATCTCATCACTTTTATGATGTTTTATTCATGTGCCATTATATACTTGTCAGTTTTCGTTTTTTTTTTTAAATGTCGGAAATGTTTATTTTTTGGCCGGATATGATGCGTAAGATATCCTTGGAATATTGGGGATAAAATTTATGTGGAACTGGATTTTACTCCCTTTATTGTTGTTGTCTTCCTTCTGGCTTTCATCTCATACTTTCCTCAAGTGGGTTTCTTTGTTGGTTGTACAGGAGACGTGGAGATTTCTTTCTTGTAATTGATTGATTTTGATTTCTTTGTAGTCTTGTTTCTTGGTTGAATCGCTTGTAAATAGCATGTTCTTTAACAATTTTAATATAAAAGTCATTCTTGTTTGATAGAGTTTTTATTTCCTTGTATGGATCTGTGACAATTCCACATTGATTTTGAAGTTGAAACAGAGGCATTCCTTCTATGAGGAGGAATATAGAGATAATAATTCTGGCTCAGGCAGCAGAGAAATTTTGATGTTCTTGATAAGATATCTATTGTGCGCGTGCTGGAGTGTGCTTCTCATTAGTTTGCTTTCATTTTAGTGATGACAATATCTCTCTCTCTCTCTCTCTCTGGGCGAAAGGTTTGATCATATCTTTTGCGAGGAAAGTTTCACTTACTACTTTGGTTTTGAAGTTTTTGCCATCTTGTAGGTTGAATTGATGAGTGCAGGAAACTCTGACAGTGCAGGCCTTTTTGGTTATATGTGCTTTTCCCCTTATATTATTGTTTAGGCATCTTAAAAACTTCTAATGACCATCTGAACTCTGAGTCAGTGCATTGTTGTAGTGATTTTATCATAACTCTTATGGTGTTATTTTACTTCTGTTTGTTTGATTATTTATCATTTTTTTATATTGGTATAGGTCTGAACTTGGTTTAGATCCTGGAAGTGATCCAGGTTTGGTTTATACTGTGGGACAAGTTGTTAAATGTCGGGTAATCAGCTCCATTCCTGCTTCACGGAGGGTCAACCTTAGTTTCATCATCAAGCCTACGAGGTCCCCTCCTCTTTAAGTTTTACCTTTTGATTGACGCAGCATGCTATAATTGAAATGTTTCAGATCCATTATGGGATTCATTTCCCTTGCACTTCGCCGAATTGACGTGATGATTCGTATGTCAGGGCTTCTGAAGAGGATATGGTTAAGCTGGGTAGTCTTGTTTCAGGAGTTGTTGACAGAATAACATCAGATTCTGTAGTCGTTTTTGTAAACTCCAGAGGCTTTTCAATGGGTAAAATATCCGTCGAGCACTTGGCTGATCATCATGGTATGAATTTCCTTCTGCCTGATTAAGGGTTTTTTCATTGCTTCTGCTTCCATTGAATGATTAACATAGTACTTTTCATGCAGGGCAAGCTATTTTAATGAAGTCAGTTTTGAAACCAGGATATAAATTTGATCAACTACTTGTTTTAGGTACATTCAACAATCCTAACAGTTTGTGCGAAATTGCTTGTTGTGATCTGGGGACAATAAATATCAACGCATTATTGATATATAGAATGATTTTTGACTTCCCATCTCTATCCTAATAGCAATAATGGCAAACTCATGCACTTTCTACTTCTCTGACAAGATCCTGCAATTTTAATTGGTATAATACTCATCAGACCTGACATCTTGGGAAGTTGTTAGAGGCATGCTTTCATACAACAATTTCTTTTTTGGTCAGGCTTGAAACTGCTTTGGCCTTTCTGTGTAGATGGGGCGCTAAAGAAGATACTGAGTTTTTCTTATGATTAATTTGACTTCTGACCCCTTACCCAAAATAAAGCAGAGCCTTGCAAAGTTGTGAGATTTTAGGGTTATAATATGTTGGAATTGGTCAAGGAAGTTATATTACATGCGTATATCTTTGCTTCTAGACTTGCCTGTATTCATCTGTTTCATTTTTAGCAGATTTTAACTTGATATTCACTGGGTACATTCTGTTAATCTGAATTCGCTAATCCATTTGCAAATTAGTTGACTTAGCAATGAAGCTTAAATCAATCTTATAATTCTGGCTGGAATAGTTCCTTGTGTTTTCTTTATTTTGCTTTAAATATTCATGATCCTTCTGTAGTATTAAGTCCCCATGCGGATAGCAAATTATTTTCCATGATTTCCATTGTGGGGCCTGGTAGAAAGCATTGAAAAAGCATTTTAAATAGTGTGAAGCAGGTTTATCGCAGTTGTGGTTCTTATCAGACTGCTCTGATTATTTTATTCGAGGAATTTTTTAAATATAAGTTTGGGTTCCCTGTACATTTGTGTCACATTTGCGGTGATTGAGTATCTATATTTGAAGCTTAATTATATTAAAAATTCCGCTGCTTGCTCCTGCCATTCAAAAATAGTAAAAAAATTTTATATTTATATTTTTGCGGATAAGAGAAATAGAGCTGAAGCTTCTTGGTTTTAGACCAGGATGATGCTAGTATTTTTTTTTTTTTGGTTTCTAAGTGTCTTACTCTGGGTCTGGAGTGGTATTTTATTTTTTTGTGCATTTGTTGCCCAGAATTAGTGGAGCCCTATTTCAGTTTAGTTCATGGCATTATAATTTTCTCAAGCTAATATCTATTGCTGATAACATGTGTGAAAGGAATTTTGATGGTTAATTTGAAGTTGTGTTCTAATGAATGCAGATATTAATGGCAGCAATCTAGTTCTGTCTGCCAAAAGTTCGCTTATCAAATTTGCTGATCAGATTCCTCCAGATATTAGTCAGATTCATCCTAACTCTGTCGTGCATGTAAATATTTGCCTAAGCAGATGGAAATTGCTTCCCATGCTTTCTTGTTAATGATAACTTGGTTGAGCTCTTCTGCTTCAGCTGAATAAATTCTTTGTGTGGAGCAGGGTTATATTTGTAACTTAATTGAGACAGGTTGCTTTGTCCGTTTCCTTGGTCGATTGACTGGGTTCTCTCCAATAAAAAAGGTGTTCTATATTTTAGATTTCTTTATCCTCAACCTTCCCCTTCTCCTCATCCCAGCTTGTGTTTATATGGCTTACCTTAATATATTTTTATTTTGTATAGGCAACTGATGACAAGAAAACCAACCTCTTGAAAGCCTATTACATTGGGCAATCTGTTCGCTGCAATGTTTTTGATGTTAGTAACTTAGCATATTAGTTGAGGCTGGTGATTTGAAATTAAAAGAAAAAGGGATGATTTAATGTAAGACTTTATATGTCTTCTTTTCAGATAAGTAGCGAGACTGGTAGAGTAACACTTTCTCTAAAGCAGACATCATGTTCTTCAACAGATGCATCATTTATTCAAGACTACTTTCTTATGAAGGAAAAGGTACGAACAATTATCAGATAGCTGTATCATGTAGCTGATATCTGGCTTTATAACCATGCTTGACTCTCAAAACGAACCATGTACAGGTCCTACATCAGTAGCGCGCGCACAGGGCATAACCTCTACCTTCATAGAATGAAATTTATCTGTGCTAGATGTATCTTGTCTTTTTTGTTGGCCTTTGACTTTTCCCATAACAATTGATGCTCTGCTATTAACTTCAGTGGAAAATCGCTTAATAATAGTGTGTTTTTTTAATTTCTATACATATCATGTTGTACTGATCTTCTACCATGGCTTTTTACTCCAGTCTTCTCAGATATTCTAATGACATTTCCTCTTCCCCTTTTCTCATTGCTATTGTTTACCCAATTTTCTTTGCTTTTCTTCATCCAGATTGCTAAGTTGCAGTGCTTGGGCTCTGGTGGATCTGATTTGAAGTGGGACGAAGGATTTAGCATTGGGACAATTGTTGATGGGAAAGTTGGCGATGTTAAGGAAGTGGGAGTTGTTATAAATTTTGAAAAGTATAATGATGTTTTTGGATTCATCACAAACTATCAGTGTGAGTTTTCTCTCTATATTTTGTTACTAGATATCATGGATTCTTGAACAAATTGCAATTGCTAATTCTAATTGAAGTGCAATCTTTCAGTAGCTGGAATGGTATTAGAAAAAGGCTCTGCTGTGAAAGCAATGGTTCTCGATGTTTCAAAGGAAGAACGCCTTGTCGACTTATCTTTGAGACCTGAGTTAATTAAAGGATCTAAAGAAGGGAGTTCCCAAAAGCATGTTAATAAAAAGGTTGAATCTCTTTTCTTGATTCACATTGCATGTTGCATGTTTTCCCTACATGATGGAGTTATAGCCGAGCAAAATAATTTATACAAGTATCATGCTGTTTTTTTTGAATGGGTTTGAAATTTGGAATTTTCTTTCCTTCTCATACATTTTACTATTTATTTTTGTTCTTTTTTCTGTAAATTTCCTTGCATTCCATTTGTTATTTTGTATGCCAAAAAATGCTAAATTTGTGTTATTCATTTTTGTCCTATTTTGATCAAATCAATGCCATGCCATTGTTCTAGAAACGGAGAAGAGAAGCAGTTAAGGACTTGGTAGCGCATCAGACAGTGAATGCAGTAGTAGAAATTGTGAAGGATGACTACTTGGCAAGTGTTTATCATTGTCAATTTTGTCCATGTTTTTTTTTTTTTTTTTTTAACCAGCAAGTTTGTCCCTGGTTAATAGAATTAGTTTTTGTATATCCTTGTATTTTACTGAAGTCATTGTCTGTTAAGCAGGTTGTATCTATTCCAGAGCATAATTATGCTATAGGATATGCATCGATATCTGACTACAATACTCAAAAGTTTCCCCAGAAACAATTCTTAAATGGACAAAGGTGAACTAGAATCAGCTAATAAATACTCTCTCTACTCACTCTGATTTCCATATTTTAATGTCATTACTTTGCTGCTGTTGTTGCTCCTCCTCCTATCACTACTATTTCATTTTTTGGCATAAGCTTTCTTTTCCTACATTGTACTTGGTTGTATTTTTATATTCTGCTTCTCAAATCTCTTGGCTTGGTGGAAAATAAGCTTTTGTGTCAACATTAAGATTTCGTTTTGTTTTCCTTCTTTTCCATTTGTTAAAAAGCATTTGACATCTGGCCCTCAAATGCTCATCACACAAACTCATTTTCTGTTGCCTCTGTGGATAAGTTGCTTTCTTGCCGATGCAGAAGGTTGGCTGCAATTCTGGATTTTTTCTTTTGTTTTTAAATTTAGTTGTGAGCAGCAGATGCAGGAACAATTTAATCATGAAGTTGAATGTTGATACTCTGGGCATATAATGATTACAGAGCTTCTGCTGATGAAATCCCTTGCTTTTTATATACATCCATCTCAGCGCAAAAGATATTGTCTAGGTGTTCTTTTTATGTTTCAGATTGCTGTTGCATAACAGAGAGGATTTTCATCCCAACAATTCTTAAATTTTGATTGTGTGAAGGGTGTTTTTTGGGACAAGGTTATATGGTGTCCAACTACGATGCTTTTGATTGAAAAGTGGATGCAACATTTTTCTTGACCCATTCTTTCTGGCATTAAATGCATGTGCGTCATGGCTTTGTTTTCTTGATGTTGCCTCCATAAGCCGACAGATATGTGTGCCTAGTTTCTTTAAAGTTGGTCGGTGATGCTTCATACATGAGCTTATACTTAAAATGGTTTACTTGCTCTCAGTGTCACTGCGAATGTGATGGGTCTTCCAAGTCTAGAAACTTCAGGGAGGCTGCTTTTGCTTCTTAGTGAGGTCAATGAAGCTCCTTGTTGTAAAAGAGCAAAGAAGTCTAGTCATAAAGTGGGATCTCTGGTTCATGCGGAGGTAATTAAATGCAGTTTATTTCAACGCTGCGTGCCTTGGGGGGGGGGGGGGTAGTTTGTTTTGATGCATGGTAAGGGTTCTCGTACCTTGTTGATTTGCAAAGAGGCATGGAACTATGATGAGCTTGAAATTTTTTTTTTCCCCGGTTGGTTTGCAATGTTTGATAGACTATTCTTTCTTTTGGGGCATGAATGTGATACAGTGATATGAAGAAGAAAGATGAAAGAATCAGAATTTCGTTCACTAACTGCATTAATGTCCCTTTTTATTAATGCAACGTCTATTTAAGGAGTCAGTTAGATTCCTAACTAAGCTAAGCTGCTAACAGCCTTACATGCTACAACTTGCTTCCTAGCCATCTCTCATACTTCTATCGCATGATTTTTCTTTTTGAACTTTTGTTGTACAGATCACAGATATCAAGCCTCTTGAACTGAAATTGAAGTTTGGAGTTGCTCTACGTGGCAGGATTCACATAACGGAGGTAATTTATTGATATATGAAATGTAAACTGGAATTTTAATATGCCAGTTTGTATGCTGTTGAGAAATATGCTCCAAAAGCTTATCAAGAGGGTATATACACAGAAGATGAACCTAGGTTTTTATGGCTTATCGAAAGCTTAGCCTATCCTATACAACCTGGCACTGAAGAGGCTGTGTTTCCTTCTAGCAGACTCTACAATCTACAATACAGTCTATAATATCTTTCATTATCGATTTCTAACATATGCAAATTGACATTTGATGGTTTTCTACCTATGTGCAGGTTCATGATATAAATGTTTTTGAAAATCCATTTGCTGGCTATAAAATTGGACAAACAGTGACAGCAAGGATCGTTGCAAAGCCTAATGAATCAGATAGCCATAGGAAAGGCTCACAGTGGGAACTGTCAATCAGACCAAAAACGCTTGCAGGTTTGTTATTTATGATAGCTTTCTGCTTGCTCATGTTTGTGCTTCAGATCTTCCATGAAACTGTGGAAGTCTTTATGAATGACGATTGATTGTAATAATTTTATTTATATGAAATATAATTGTGAATTGACTCAATTGATATTTTCAACCATGTTTAATTTCAATCCAGGTGCTGGTGATATAGGGGACACTATTGGTGAAAGTTTTCAATTCTCAACTGGGCAATGCGTCACTGGCTATGTATATAAAGTGGAAAGTGAATGGGTCTGGTTAACAGTATCTCGAAGTGTGAGGGCTCAGCTTTATATTCTTGACAGTTCTTGTGAACCCAATGAGCTTGAGGATTTCCAGAATCGTTTTTATGTGGGAAAACCTGTGTCTGGTTATATTCTGAGTATCAACAAGGAGAAGAAGTATTTGCGGCTGATTTTACGTCCCCTTTCTGCTCCGCGTCATAGAACTGGTGATGACATAGAAGCCAAGTTAGATGATCAACGAACAGATGTTGTGAATGCAGATATGACGGCTTACATTCATGAAGGAGATGTTTTGGGTGGAAGAATTTCTAAAATCATTCCAGGAGTTGGTGGATTGCTTGTCCAAGTTGGTCCTCATGCATATGGAAGAGTACACTTCACTGAACTTGCAGAAACATGGGTCCCTGACCCATTGTCTGGATATCATACAGGACAGTTTGTCAAATCTGTGGTTCTTGAAGTCAGCCACTCTGTCAAGGGTACTGTTCATGTTGATTTGTCGTTTCGGTCTTCAGATCAGATGTTTTCTCAGAATGCCAAAGAAATACAAAATCCTGAGTAAGTACCGGGACTTACAGAAAGAATGAAATCCACTGCCTTTGATCTATTAATAATTCATGCGGTATTACCTGTAGTGGATTTTGTACAGCTATATAGTATATACAACAGACATTAATTGGGAAGGTTTAGTATACATATTATGCTTCTTCCATGCAAGTACCTAGTATGTGTGTGTATCACTTTATGATGTAATGATTCGTTGTTTGGATTAAAGGGAAGGGAAGGGAATTTAATGATTTTTTGTAAACTATCTCCCCTCCCCTCCCCTCCCCTTCCAATATCCAACCAAGATGTGCTCTCTTCCCCTTTAAAATCCCTGACCAAACAATGAGTAGGCGTTGCAGTCCGCTCAAATTTGTTCTTACCAGTCACTTTCTTCTAAGAATCTTTTGCTAGTGGATTGTTTTTTTTTTTTTTGTTGGTATTGTAGTCGTTAGCAGCCCAACTGAAAACAGACAAAAATTATAATGTTGATTCATATGGAATTACCCATGGTACATGACTATATCCGTTTTGGAGCTATAACCATTGCAGCTTTTTTATTTACAATGTTGATTTACCAGTCTTGAAAATATTGCAGTCACAAGGGCTTAACATGTGATTCCTTGATCCATTCAATTCTTAATAGTTCTTCATGTTTAAAATAGATAGATAGATGGTTTGTTGTGGTCTACGTGTAAAGACACCTTAAGATTCTCCTATCTTGTTGAAAATGAGAAATTATTATGGTTGTTTCTTGTTTTTCCAGGTCTACTAGTAGCAAACCTGTTGAGAAGATTGAGGATCTTCATCCTGATATGGTTGTACAGGTGCTGGATAATTCTTGTTCTCCTATTTCTTAAATTGTATATTTTAATGCAATTTAGTCTTTGCTTTAGTTTACACTAATGAAATTAATGTTGTGTGTCTGTTAACAAACATGTATGTGAAATCTTGTGTAGCCAATATTACATTGACCATTAAACTGATTGAATGCTGATGAAACCTCCATAGCTCAGCATCTGAGTATATGTATAATAGCTAAGTTTCTTTCCAAACAGACCGCTGAGTGGAAATGCCCACCTTCGGTGATTAAAAAGAAACAAAACGAAAGTAAGATAGTCCCCCTCTGGTTGGAGAGGCCAGAAAATCTCCCAGCCAAAATCTTGCTTGCATCCTCTTGATACTGCTAGCCAACATAATCCCCAATGGCCTTGCTCTCCTCTTCTCACCTTAGCTGATTAAATAGAAGCAAAACAAAAATAAGATAGTCCCTCTCTGGTTGGAGAGGCTAGAAAATCTCTCAGCCAAAATCTTGCTTGCATCCTCTTCGTCCAACAAATCTAGTAGCTACCCCTATTTTCATCCTCTTCTCCTGCCATCTCATCATCTGATTTGGATTTGGGCTGTCCGTTTTGAGGCCCATTTTGCCACTCTCTTTCTCCAACCAAAATAAAAATGTCAGCTTGAGCCCCTTCACATGATCATCTTTGTTTTTCTCAAGCTTCCCCAATGCAGAGAGATGGAGGCCTATTTGCAATTATGATCTTGTTTTCCTTTTGACCGCATTACATTAATCTCTCTTAAATGTTTCCCTCTTCAGATACTAACGGTTTAATTTAGCAATAACAGTCCTCATTGAGAAATATGTTTTATGCTGTCTTGTGTTTGCGTTATGCTCACTAGAACTGGAGGTTCTATCTTACCATCTAAACTATTGAAAACTTATTTTCTTGTCACTTTTTTGACTGGTTTTAAGGTTTTGTAACCATCTTTCATACAATATGATTCCCCAGCTCTGTTTGGCTCAAAGTTCAGTCAAATTCTGACACTTCAGTATTATGTGAGATTTTAGCTTATTTAGTTCAATTTGCAAGAATCTAACATTATATGTCGTTTGAATGTGTTCTATTAGATTCAGAATCATAATGAACTTCTAAGCATGGGTTCCCCCCTTCCTTTTGGATATTGTGCCATCAAATTTAACGATATCTTTCTTTGGCCATTACAGGGTTATGTAAAACATGTCTCACCAAAAGGATGTTTTATTTTACTCTCACGAAAGATTGATGCCAAGATTCTTCTGTCAAACCTATCCGATGAATACATTAAAGATCCTGAAAATGAATTTCCTGTGGGGAGGCTTGTTACTGGAAGGTAAGTATTTCAGCCTGTCCTATCCCTCTCTGTTCTAAACAAAGAGATGTACTGAGTCAATCTTTTGCAGGGTTTTATCTGTCGATCCTCTATCAAATCGTGTTGAAGTTACATTGAAGAAATCAGATGGTACCAGTAGAATCAATTCTGATATTGTTGATTTCAGTAAATTCCATGTTGGAGACATTATATCTGGCAGGATTAAGCGACTGGAGCCATATGGTTTATTCATTGCAATTGATAACACAAACATGGTACGTTAAATCCACTTCCTCCAGTCATTTGTGGTCAATGTAATTGGTAAAATGAAATGAATAGTTGTATATTTCTTGGCACTGTTTAACTTTCCAGTTTTCCCAACTTAACATCATCTTCTAATTGTATGATCTATTGCTCGATTTGGATTGGATTGTCTATATCCTCACAACTCCATCCAAACAATGATTGTATTTTGTGTTTCTGGAAAGTAAAGATTAAAGGGGTTGGATTATGTGATCACACTTTACTGTGTTCTTTGAATTACCTAGGTCGGATTATGCCATGTGTCAGAGATTTCTGATGATCATGTTGACAACATAGACACGAAGTTTAAAGCTGGAGAGAAAGTAGATGCACGAATATTAAAGGTAATTTGAGTAGAGCAGCTTCAAATTTTATTGGCTTTTCTTTATCACATTTGGTTGTCAGCTGTGACTGTGGTTACTTCAGCATGATGAAGAGCATCCCATATTACTCAATGGGGGCCCTAATATCCCATACTATCAAGTCTCCATCAGAATGCTATAGCATAATTGGAGGATGGAGCAGGGTATTGAGTCTAGCTACAATATAGAGGAATTCTTAGAATTATGTAGCGAAAGCTTGCTAGAATTCACCATAAATGAGGAAAAGTCATTGATTATTTAGAAGAGTTGTATTTCCATTTTCACATGAGAACTTTTTTCATAGCCATGATACTCCTGGACCATATAATAACTTCTCAAGGCTTTATTTCTGAAGTATATTCCTTAACATCTAAATTTACATTATAATCATCATTAGTGAATATATTATTATAATTGACTTGCTATATGACTTTAGTTCTCCTCTTAAAAAGGAGATTGATCTAATGGTTTCTGGTTGATCTTTATAGAACTTTCACTCCACAATTAGATTCTGGGATATTGATAAAATATCCGTTTCCTAATAACTTGAAGATTATATATGATTATAATTGACATCCCCTTGGGTTGTCTTACAAGAGGTAGTTTCATTGCCTTTTTAGCGGAGATTGTGTGCTGAATATTTCTTGCAATTTCCTGACATGTATGACCAGGTCGATGAAGAAAGAAAAAGAATTTCTCTGGGAATGAAGAATTCATACATGAGAGATGAATCTGCGCTTGAAGTTTCTTTAGAACAAGAATCCGATGCAAATTTTTCAGATAAAATGAAGTCTATAGCTTCAATGAATAGCGGTTTGCTTGACACACAAATTATGGATATCGAAGATGAAAATAATCGATGTCTGAATTTTTCACAAGCAGAAGCAAGGGCGTCCGTTCCGCCTCTTGATGTCAATCTTGAGGACTTTGATGAGTTTGATGCAGATAACACTACTAGCCAAAATCAAGAGCATGGAAAAGAAGACACCATAAATGAAAAGGAAAAGAAGCGTGCGAAGAAAAAAGCAATGGAAGAGAGGTTGATACAGTTATCTTATTGGTTTTTGGTCTGCTGAGAAATGTTGATTTCTCTGCATTTTCTATATTCCTTTTCAATCTGTAATAATTGGTTCTGTAATCTACAGGGAGAAAGAAATAAGGGCTGCTGAGGAAAGACTGCTGGAAGAGGACATACCAAGGACTGCCGATGAATTTGAAAAGATGGTTAGAAGCTCTCCTAATAGCAGCTTTATTTGGATAAAGTACATGGATTTAATGATTTCCATGGCGGATGTTGAGAAAGCCCGCTCAATTGCTGAGAGGTACATTTCACGATTATTAGTCCATTTATTAGCTACTCTTCAATTCAATCTGTTCCATACTAGTTAAATGCTGGCGTATAATGTATGGGTGCGTGCGAATTGTTTAACTACCCCAACAGACAATTCACATGCACCCACGCATTAATCATTCTCATTTTAAATGCGTCCTAAAATCGTATGATTGATTTTTGGTTTTGAATGTTTAAATTCTCATGAGACTCAAAATTTAATTTCATAAATCTAGATTATGGTCCTTGTCCTTAGTTGTCTATTTTTGGCCTATTGTTGATTTTTTTTTTCTCTTTTATTTTTTATTTTTGGGTGTGGGGATTTTTTTGGGGGAGGGGGTAAGGAACCAGGAAGGATGCCATGCCTGGTGATAATGTGTTTTCTTCCCCCCCCCCCCCCCCCAAAAAAAAGAAAAAGAAAAATGAACCTTCCCCTTTATATTCCCATCGAGCCATCTATCTAAATATGTTGTATTATCTTGATTCGTCTTTCTTCATGCCATACTTTTCAAGGGCTTTGAGGACAATAAACATACGAGAAGAAAATGAGAAGCTCAATATCTGGAAGGCATACTTGAATTTGGAGAATGAGTTCGGAAACCCTAGAGAGGTAATAAGGAGGCATCAATTTTATGCAGTTGTCATTAACATCGTTATGTCTATCATTCACCGAGTTTCTGTTTGTAGGAGAGGTAATAAGGAGGCATCAATTTTATGCAGTTGTCATTAACATCGTTATGTCTATCATTCACCGAGTTTCTGTTTGTAGGAGGCAAAGAGCACTTCAGTATAATGATCCCAAAAAAATCTATCTAGCTCTGCTGGGAGTGTATGAGAGGACCGAGCAGCATCAGTTGGCTGATGAACTTGTCCATAAAATGACAAAGAAGTTTAAGCATTCATGCAAGGTATTATGGTATTTTTGAAATGCAAAATCTTATTTTTCATGGCCTTCGAATATGTGATGTTCATATGACGTCATGTCGGTTTGGGTTTTAGATTTGGTTGAGGCTCGTGCAAAGACTCTTGAAGCAAAACCAGGATGGAATTCAGTCTGCTGTAAATCGTGCTCTGTTGAGCCTTCCCCGACATAAGCATATTAAGTTCATTTCACAGACAGCAATTCTTGAATTTAAAGGTGGGGTACCTGATAGGGGACGATCCATGTTTGAAGGAATATTACGGGAATACCCAAAGAGGACAGATTTATGGAGTGTTTATCTTGACCAGGTAAAATCCTTTTCAAGGCCATGATGTTACCCTTATTTATATCAGTATGTAATTATGGATAATAAACACGTGTTCTTGTGTACATGGCAGGAAATTCAACTGCAAGATTCAGATGTAATCCGTGCGTTGTTTGAGAGGGCAATTAGTCTGAGCCTCCCGCCTAAAAAGATGAAAGTGAGTACATTTTCATATATTCAACTTTGCCGCCCCCCCCCCCCCCCCAAAAAAAAGAAAGAAAGAAATCTCCAGCCATCCTTATTTTGTCTTAATTTGCAGTTCTTGTTCAAAAAGTATCTTGAGTATGAGAAGTCCCAAGGTGATGAAGAACGGATTGAATATGTGAAAAAGAAAGCGATGGAATACGTCGAGAGCACTCTGGGCTGATTCAAAATCGGTTGCTTATGGTTGTCGGCATACTGACATTACAGTGAAAATATCACTCAGCTATTGCGTGGTATAATTATCGGCTTTAGTATTCTTTTTTTTTTTTTTTTTGGTCAAAGGCTTTAGTATTCAGTATCAAGAGATAGGCCCCATGCTGAGACCTTAACAAAACAATATCTTTCCAAGATTCCATGAAACGGATTGGAACTTGGTTCTATTCCGATGCTCGTTGTTGCCATATATGGACAGCGTAAGCTGACTGCATGGACAACGAGAGCATGTGGGATGATCTGGAGGTCTCTAAATTGCATCAAATGTGTTCTCTGCTGGGGAAAGTGATGAGCAAAATTTTGGGTGAAATGGGGTTTTTTTTTTTGACCTAATTGAGCATTACATTATGAGGGATAGGCTTCTGTATCCATTCCCTCCCCCCTCAATTGTACGATACTAGCGTTATGTACATTTTGTCCAAGTGTAACTGATGAATAGTCTCTTCACTTAAAATGGTAATTAGCCACAGCTTTTTGATTTATCGAATTTTTTAAAATCAATCCTCCCTTCTCTCTATACCACCAGTGGGTAGTATTTGTTTATAGATCAATAGATCCTTTCTAAATCGGAAAGGGTCTTTAGGTGAAATACAATACTTTATCTGTTAAGAATTAATTTTTTTAAAAAAAATTTAATGCATTAAATTAAGGAGGATATCTGTGTGTAATTAAAAAAAAAAAGGATAAATTTGATGACGTGGTTATCTTAATTTCATTTTTTTAATGTGTTCTTATATTTTGAAATGGAGGGGTACTGTTTAAGAGCTATGATTTATGAACATTGCAACTATTGATAACATAATTTATGAGAAGCTCTTGATTATCAATGAAGCAAATAATTAAAAGCTTAATTATCATTTGAATTGATGATTTATGATTTATGATTTATGATAATTAAAAGCTTAATTATCATTTGAATTGATGATTTATGATTTATGTTGTTTCGAGAAATTTTTTATTTTCTTAGTACGTGCATGAATTTAGCCAAGGTTTGAAATAAACAGGGTACGACCCTTCTGGTGTGACGGAGGGTTTGTGAGAAGTTGCGGCAAGCAAAGGAATAGGATCGATTTAAAGCCCAAAATTCAGTCAAACTTTGAATAAGCCTCTTTTCTGTTTCGATCACGTTGTTGACAGATTTCTTGAGAACTCTCAACAATAACGAGTGAGCTGTGAGCTGAGGAAGATGACCTTGTGTCTCGAAAATCCGAAGCATGGACACCCAGCTTGCTCTTCATGTAAAACGCAACAGAATTTGGGACAATATCGTCCTTCTGACACTGAATTATTGGGCAAGGCACCAGAACTCGTGGCAGAACCCATCTTATATCACTCAGGAAAACTGTTTCAGCAACACTTAGAGCAACTTCTGGTTTCATCCTCCCCAAATTGCTCTCAAACTGAACAATAGCATTCGGGTCGTTCACCCCCACAGCAATTGGAGCAAAGCTGTGAGCCCAACCTGAATAATTTTGCTTCAATGATTCAAAGATTGTGTCAAGTTCTGATCTTTGGAATCATCCTGCATATCCTCTTGCATTGAGGTACCTACAGAGATTTGCAGTAGCAGAGCAATACAACAGTGGTTATAAAGTGGATATTATATTATTAAGGAGCGGAGTTATAGGAAGAGTGTACTATAAAGTGGATATTATATTATTAAGGAGCAGAGATAGTACTAAGTTTGATTTATTTACCTTGAAGAACCTCCACGCTGGATTAGATGTTGAAAGAGCTGTGGATTCTTCGTTGCAGCTAAGCATCCAATCACAGCAGACATGGAATGACCAATGTATATAGTGTTGTTGAAGTTGAAGGGACGTCAAGTCTTGAGCATGGCCGTCGAGAGATGCATATTTGGTCGGATCATAAACGGGAGGATTAAGATTTGGTGAGAAAGCCAAGTCAAAGACCAGGATCTTGAAGTAGCATGCAAGTAGGGAACAAGGCAGTGCCATATGGTCTGGTCGGTGCCGTATCCATGAGCAAGAACCAACGTTTGTGTGCCATTTCCGTAGATATCAGTATTTATGTCTTGAACTATGCTTCTTCCTCCTCCTTGACATAATGTTCCCTTCTTGATGTAACAGTTGTGAAAAATGGTTTTAAGAAACTTGATGCAGCAACCTCTGGGGGATGAGGTTACATGGCACAATTTAGATGTTTGTTTTGAAAAGTACTTCCAAGACTTAGCTTGTGAAATTCATTTTCATAATTGATACTTCATATTATCTTAATTATAAGGGGTGTGTGAGTGGTTGAAAAGTAAATGAAAAAGACAAAAGAAAACTAATATTTAGAGGGTAAATGTATTCATCGGTCTGCAAGTTATAGTGCCCAAATTAATGGCGTATTAATATTGTAAAATTTTCATGGTTTTGGTATGTAACTGTATGATAAAATAATACATGAAAGTTGTTAACCGTTTATTATTATGTGATTTTTTTATAGATAAGAATTTTAATTTTAACTTATTTTTGACAAATTTGATAATAAATATATGAAAATATTATTTAAATCTAATTCATTGTTTATTATCAATAGTCTGTGCAGAAACGTGTCGAAAATAAGTTTTATTGAACATTCAATTTCCATTGACTTATTTCTATTTTAGATTGATAAATTTTTAATTTTTATAATATTTTTTATGTATTAGTATTTTTGCAGTTGCATATATTACTTTTTTAAAAATTCATATTCTCATATTTGGATTGTCATGAATGCATGCGCTCAACCTCTTTGGTGGCTTTCTACTTTTCAATAAATGTTTTGCCAACTTTTTATACTTGCACTGTCAATTGGCAGGAACAAGCTAATCCTTCTCTATTCTCTCTCTCCGGTTCACTAAGGAAGCAAGATCCATAGTGACAATCGCTTTTGAGATTTGAGCCACTAACATTTTAGAGATGCAGTACAATTGTTGTTTTACACAACTTCCTAAAAGTAGGACGGGAATCTAACAAGAAAATGTATCGATTTAGTCTTCCTAGTCACAACGAATTAAAAACAAACTAAGGAGATGAGAAATATCCCTTTGCGAAACATTTGTGAAGTTCTATACAAAATGCTAATTCCTTGGCTTTACATATCATCTGGGGACAGTGGCACAGAATGGGATCATAGGAGAAGTCGATCTTCTCTCTGTTCTTTTCTTTTTTGAAGAAAAAAATTTAGGGAGGCTGGCACTAAGCATGAGATTATAAGCGGAGTTATAGGAAAATTTCATGTCACTAGATTGACTAGAGTTAATATCCTCTAGTTCACATTTGTCAGAGGAAAAAGAAAACTGGAAGCTAGGAACTATAGCCCAATAAAAGCAGTATGAATGCAATCAACAAGTCTATCGGCCCTTGTTTATATCTACTCAGTGTGTAGCCTACTTTTCATATTTATAACCAGAGCAAAAAGCATCCATCATCAAAGCTTTTTAGTAGGTATATATTTAGCCACATACAACTTTGCCTGACTATTTTCTCTATGCTCACTTAGTCAGAGTCGTTTTGTTTGCATCAAGCTTACTCAACGGGAAACTGATCATTTCGAGGAAGCTAACTTATCCTATTCAATAAAAAAATGATAGGTCTCCTCTTTCATTTTTTGTAATAAAGTCGGTTTCTTGTCGAATTTAAATGCAACAACCCTCCAATTGTAGTCAATACTCATGTCATGCTTCTGTATGACTTTTTTCTTTCTAGGAAACGAAATTAATATTTAAATTAATCCTCGGAAACATTCGAGAGATTTGCTGAATGTATTAAGCATCGCGATTGAAGAGATCGAAACTTATTTAATATATTTTTCTTCCCCATCTTCATCTATATTCTTTGTTTATTTTCCTTCCGGCATACTTTCCACCAAGGAAATTTAACCCCAGCAAGCCAGATGATAGAAATATGGCAACAGCGCTCAAACGCCAGGATTCTTTTATTAAGGAATATACAAGGATTATTTGTCTCAAAACAAAAAAAATTACAAGAATGCTACTCACAGGTTAGGCTATTGCACAATTTCCTGAGCCTAAGTAATATGAAGTCTACTATAATGCATGAAAATACACTGACAAAAATATTAGTCTGTACTGGCAAAGAGGGGTCCCAAGCACTGTATTCCCCGCGCAGCTGTTGAAGCGCTCTTACCAAAAACGTTAGATAGAACTCCCCATTCTTGTCCACATTATCAGTTTCAACTAGTATCCCTCGTGTATTATGAAACGCAGGTCCAAAGCTAACCTCACATTATGCAAACTGGTTCATTCCAGGCCGCACAAGAAATGAACAGAGAATCCAACTCTCCTCCATTGACGATTGGAAACCACTTTGACGCCCCAGGCCAAAAAAACAGGAAAGAAGAAAGGGTATATTTAGCTGAGTGCATAATGAACTCGCTCAAGAAGTTGGACCACCTGGTTTAGCTGAAAATGTGAGGATGGGAGCGGCTTGAGACTTCGTTTTATCACATCTGGTGGTTCTGAGGATAGAATGGCTTGTTGCTGCATGCTTGTTAGCTCCAAAAACTGGGTCAGCATGTCCCCATCAAGTATCTTTGGAATTCCAACCTACCACAGGATAAGCGTAAGCAAAAACAATGAAGGAAAGGTACAAGAGTAAGCGTTTGGGTATATTAAAATAAGAAAATATAACAAAAATTTTCAATCTGTCACAAGTTAAAAACCAGTCCTTATCTTACTAACTTTTTCGGAAATGCCTAATAAAAAACGCTGTAACCACAGTCCTTTCGTTTGACAAAAAAAAGGGAAAAGGGATCTACTCCAGCAAAAAGGACTAAAGATAACAATAATCAGTATGCTTTCACAAGCTTTAAGGATTTAAAAATTATTAGAACTTTCTTGGCAGCAGGAAATCAGAAAGCGTGACAAAGTATCATGAACAGATTTTCTTCAACAAGCTAAGAATTTAGCCACAAAGATACCATGGCAGAAACTCGATTAAGTACTTGAACCCAGTTAGAAGTACATACTGGACTTTCCCGGCTTCGAAACTCATTATGATCATTTCCTAGAATAGGTGCAGTCAATGGATGGACAACAACTCTAGCTTGCACGGCTTCTAAGAGCTCATATTCTTCCCTACACAGAAACAAATGTTTCTCAGGAATGTCAGAACTCACAGAAGACAACGCTATCCGCAATAGAGAATCACGCCAAATTCAACAATCCAGTGGAAGTTGAAGGAATGTTAATATGTGGCGTTTAAATATCTGTGAAAAGTACTCTAACGGAACAGTCACATAGCATGACTAGAAGGAGGAAAAATGTTAATGCTTAGTTTCCTTGAATGAAATTATTTTTGGTTTTGTTAGGAAAATGGCACGCTTGCAAGACTGACACTGGTGTATACCATGAGCTCTCAATGAGTGTGAAATGTAGATTATAATTGCTTCAACACCATCTGTACCAACTTACAGTTGACTTCTGTCGTCTTTAGCTAGTTACATCCTTCAGATAGTATAGGTGCAATTTAGATAGAGCAGCATTATAATGTCTCCACAAAGATAACAATTTTGATCGTCCTGCAGCTGTCTGACTTGTCCCAACCTATTTGGGACAGACAAGTCTAACATCTGATCGAGGTCGGCACAAATTTCAGAAAAGTCCAGTCTTTATAGTTCAGGATCAGGGCGAGGTCAGCACAGTGTGAACCATGCTTAAAAATTTGAAATTCAATGTTCTTTCTTATTTGTAGGCAAAGATTATTGCCTCATCTTTCAATGAGAGAGTACCAAAAGATCTAATCCCAAAAAGATTAAAACATATTTATCAGATTTCTAGTAAGAAACTGCCTGAAGCAATTAAAAATTTTACTCAACCTGAGCAAACTTAAATTGCCAGAAAAGACAACCCATTGGGTCATGTCAAGTACTCAAAAGCCTGACCCAGAATATCAGTATTCTCAAATAATAATCAAGCAGGGACCTGCAGCACGGTCCATTGACTAACCTGCCCCAAATAATTATGCACCTTAATATTTGTAGACAGAGCTGCTGCCAACATAAATCGGTACCTTGATAAACGGATGAAGATCATTATGCTTCCTAGAAGAGTGCTAGCAATTATTGTATTTTGAAATGAATCAACACTTGTCTTAGGGCCATCAGTATCACCACTTTGAAAAATGTCATCAGCTGGAAGTCTGTAAGCAAATGAGCCCTGAAACAGAACCATGAACCATAGCGGGTGAATTATATACAGCAAATGAGAAGGAAAAAATGAAGGGCAAACGGGAGGAATAGCAATAAATTGGCAAAATGCATAAAAATTATCAAATCCAAAGAAGAATAAATTATAAGTGGTGTAGATACCAAAATTCAGAACAACAGATCTGTAACTTCTATCTTCGACAACAATAATGAACATAAATAACTCTTAATCCATGATATTCAAACGACGTACCTTCTGCATGCTCATGGCTACCTCAGCCATATGATAAGCACAGCTTACTTTTAAGTTGCATTCTGGACTGGCATTGTCTGAGGCATGTGCACACAAGGTTAGAACCTTGCTTCAGGGCAATAAAATACCAAGAAAAAAAGAAAGCATAGGAACATCATGAACAGAGTTGAGTTTTTTTAAAACAAAATTGTAATTGTAATTCAGGGATTATAATTAGATAAACACCTTCAACAATGATGCAAACAGCACAATCCTCCAGAAAACGGTAAGTTACTATTCCTTTTCAAACAGTGCAGCAAGGTAGCAACCACAAAATTACAAGGTTTTTACTAAGTGTTATTAGCACAAAGGAAGATCACTCTCATGATGCGAACCGCCCCTACAGGCCGTGCTTTATGCATACAATTTTTAACTCAATTTATACAGAGAAGGATCCACCCAGCAAGGGGAAAAAAGAAAAGCATAGAAGGAAGAGAAACAAAAGCCTCAAGCTATCTTCACATAATTCAATTATAATTTAATCCAAACCAACCACTTCCCCGATTACAC